TTCTCTTATCTTGAGCTCTATTAAATGATGGAATTATGTCTGTCACATATGACCTTGTTCCTTTGTCACTGTGACTTTGTTTTTCATTTGAAAAACAGTTTGTTTTTCTCCTGCTATGGCAAGATTTGGGTCCATGACTCTAGTGTCCCCAAGAAGCACAGCCTGTCCTTTAGGTTTCTTTGGGAAAGGACTTTCTGTGGGAGAGAAATTTCTCTCCTAGTTATGAACTTCAGATTCTGGATCTGTTGAAGACCTAAATTTGAGCCTCTCTCTCCTTTGGTTTGGACCTGAGGTGCAGTCTTGCTGTGACTATCCCTGTAGCAATCTGGGAGCTTTTTGTTGATGTGATAATGTTATTGATTAGACGAATGCTTTCTTGTGCATTCAGATATACCTTGATTATATTTCCTGGCAGACTCTTCTTCCTACTTTGATTTTTTAAATACTGGGCACTCATGCTCATATATTATGTGTAGATTAGACAAAATTTGCCTCCCTTGTACATTTATTCCAAATTCTGTTGACTCATATGTATTGTTGACTATACGGACAAGCAAGTCTGTTTTCCTGTGTTCTCTGCATGTTATCTCTCAGTCCCATGCTTACTTTCCCAGAAGAGCAAAGGTGGGAGCCCCTCTATACCATGCTGCTCCCCCATTCCCTTGCACGACTTTGTATTTTGTACAACAAAGAAGTGTACCCTGGGTGACATTTCAGGGTAAGAGAGAGGTTTTTGGTAAAAGTGTTTTCAAGTTTTGTTTTTTTTTTTAGAATGATTATTATTATTATTTTTTTAAGAGGTATTGACAAATCTGTTGAACATCCCTGGCTGGAAGGATAGAGAACTTGTTGTTGTTAAGTGCCATTGAGTCGGTTGTGACTCATCGTGGTCCTGTATAGGGTTTCCTAAGAGCGGTTGGTGGTTTTGAACCACTGACCTTATGATTAGCAGTCCAGTGATTATCCTACAGCACCCAACCAGAACTCTGATGAGACATCTAGATAGACCTTTCATTTGGGTGTGCTGTTGAGAGTCCTGGTAGAATCAGGGGTTAAGCATTGGGCTGCTAACCTCAAGGCCAGTGGTTCAAACCTACCAGCTATAGATTTGCTATGAGTTGGAATCCACTCGATGGCACTGGGTGGTGAAAGAGTTAACAGACATTACTTTTCCCTTCTGCTCAGAGTCACCTCCTGGTCCATATGCTGGGTCTCCACTCTGTGGGCTACCAGGAAATTCTGCAGGCAGCCTCACTGGAGTCTAGGATAACAGCGCTGCAGTTACTGGACTTGATGTAATAATAAAGTGGGATTGTTTAGATGCCTAAGTTTTTTACACACAGTGAAGACAACCATGTCTTCAGAGAGAGACCTAATTTAAAGATGAAGAAATTAAGGTCCAGGGTTTGTGAGACTTAGCAGATAATGAGTCAAGAAAGACAGAATCATAAAGACATAGGAACACCGAGAATTCATGAGAATAATGTATGTCTCCCTTCATCTGACTAACCTCACGAATCCCCCCAGCATCCTGTGAGGGTAGGAACTATCATTCTCTCCATTAACCAGAAAAAGATGCCTTCGTCCAGGGGTTTCAAATACTGGATATGAGGCTGTGCTGGTTTTTAAAATTCAGATGACCTGGTATGTTTCCATCTGATTGTAGTTCCTGCTGCCATTTTGCTACTCTGAGACTCTGACTCCAGGATGAAAGCTAAAATGTTTCCTCAAAATTGCCCTGGGGGCAGGAGGGGCAGGGTGGTGATTTCCAGCAATTTAGATACATCATCAAGTCTGGCTCTGAGACAGTTTATTTTATTATTATCCTATAAAAATGTTGAAAGCATCATTTATAGATATTCTATTCTCGTTCAGAGAAGCCTGTGAGCTCCTCACCTTTGCTTTCTTCAGAGTGTGTTGCAGGCTGGGTGAGGAGAGGGAGGTGGAAGGGCCGAGGCACTGGGGCCGTGTCAAGCAGTGAAGCCCACAGCCCTATTGGTTTAGGCTGTGAGTTGCATCCTGGAGAAAATAATTCAAAGCCATTATGCCAACTGCAGAGTGTACAAATCCCCCTGAAAAGCAGTTCGATGGTATTTAATCCCAAATCATTTAAAAGCAATTTTGAAATAACTGAAATTTGAAAATACCCTAAAGTAGTTTATCTGTAAGAATAGAATGGGGAAACAGATGGAGAAAAGAGCCTTTTAATGGTACTTTTCTCGCATATACTATGTTTACTTATATGGCTTAAATAGTGTGTTAAATTGCATCTAGATATATACAAAGTTGGGGACGAAGATATATTCCCATGAATATTCATACCAAATATAGATTATGGAAAAATCTCTCTTAAAAAAAAAAAAATTTGAGATAATTACAGGATGGTTTTTTTTGACTCTTGGTGTGGCACTGTGGGATAAAACACTGGACTGCAAGATCTGTTTGAACCAAAGGTTGGTGGCTCAAACTCAGTAGCCACTCCTTGGAAACCTTATACAGGACCGCCATGAGTTGGAACTGACTTAATAGCACTTAATAATAACAATCTTTATGGAAACAGACTATCACTTCTCCTGTGGAGGGACTGGTGGTTCTAACTGAGCAGTTAACCACTGTACCACTAGGCTTCATGCCTTGTTGTTGTTAAGTGCCCTCTTGTCGGTCTGGCTCATAGCCACCTGTATAGAGTTTCCAAGGAGCGGCTGGTGAATTTGAAACACTGACCTTGCAGTTGAAACCAGCCTTGCGGCTCAATGCATTATCCAATAGCGCCACACCAGAACTTCTTTTTCTCTCTAGTGAATATATATTGTTTTAGCAGACACCTCTCAGAAAGCTCCATTTGAAGGAACAAGGTTATGTGCAAAGGTCATATGTCACACAGAGGGGCAGTGACCACAGCAGAAAAGAAAATGGGGAAGGGGGTTCAAATTCTCACTGAGTGATTTCTAATCTTTTTGGGTTTGTGACACCCTGTGGTTGTTTTATTTTGTAATTAAGTAAATTTTATTTTGACATACAGAATCCTCCTTGAAATAATCCCATGTACGAATCACTAGGTTAGAAGGGTGTCTGTGGAGCCGTATGAGAGTGATAAGAGGCAGGTGAAAACTAAAGCCAAAAAATAAAATAGAAGACTGAAACCAGTACAGCACTATCCAACAGGAACCGAGAGCCTTACCTGAAAACAGTTCACCTGATGAAGTGTAAGGGAGAGTAGAAAAAGCTTAGGAGGGGAGGCACTCAAGACCAAAGGGCTTTAGAAGAAGTCCTCCAAGGACAAAAAGGAGTCAAAAAAAAAAGAGTACAGTTAAAACGAGGGAAGGATTTTGCATGAGTAGATGATTGTGTTGTGTGTTTTTTTTCAACTTATCCCCATAAAGGGCATGGAGTCCTGGTGTGGCACTGTAGGATAAGCACTGGACTATTAACCACAAGGTCAGCAATTCACATCCACCAGCTGCTCCTTGGAAACCCTGTACATGGTCACGGCGATTTGGAACCCACTTGACGGTGCTTAACAACAACAATAAAGGGCATAATACTTCATTTTATAGCTGCTCTGGTAGCGTAGTGGTTACGAATCGGGCTGCGAACCTTAAGGTCAGTGGTTCGAAACTATCAGCCGCTCTGCGGGAGAAAGATGAGGCTTTCTACTCCCGTAAAGATTTACACCCTCGGAAACCCTGTACAGGGTCGCTATGGGTCGGCTCCGACTCGAAGGCACTTAACAACAACAACAACAATTTGTTTTTAACTCCAGATGTGCAGTGCTGGTAGTGCTTCCTGGTGTGGCGCTATAGGATAAACACTGAATCAAAAGATCATTTGAATAGCAAGATCAGCGGTTAAAATTCACCAGTCGGAGAATTTAAAAACCTATGCAGGGTTACCGTGAGTTGGAATCGACTTGACGGCCCTCAGCAACAACCAAAAATCGCAGTACTGTATAGTGTTACATGATAGCTAGGTTTCAAATGTGTGAGTGTATGTTTGTGGCTTTTTACAAATAGAGATGTTAGCGTACAGGTTAAACACTTAGACTTTTCAATATGAACCAAAATTTAAAACACGTGTATACCCCTTGACCTAGGATTTGTACCTTTAAGAATTTATTTTAAGGAATAATAATTAAGTCAGTAGGCCATGTTTGATATGCAAGATGTTCACTGCACTGATGTTTATAATACCAAAAAGTTGGAAACAACCTTGCCAGGTAGCAGTAGGTGAGTGGTTGTATAAATTTTGGCACACTCTGAACAGTGAAGTATTTATTCTACAGCTATTTAAAAAGCATGTGATAGATCTATATGCTTTGACATATCAGAATTTCCAGACATTATAATATGAAAAAGCTAACTTTAACAACAACAAAAGCAGTATGTGTTATAGGAGCTTGTTTTTAGTTTGAATCTATATGTTCCCAAAATATTTTTAAGGATAACAAATTTCTGTGTAGTATATTACATGTGCGGACTTTGTGAGTTCCTGCATTGTTTTAGGGTTTACAAAACAAAACAACAACAACAGAAAATAGTTCTATATGCAGATAATACAATTTGAATAGTGGCATTTTTTGGGGAAAAAAGTCCTTAACTCCCATTTAAATTGTCTTTGAAACAAATACAAAGAAAAGGTTCAGTATTTCACCTTTTACTTACTTTTTATGCTCTCAATGTCAAATGGTAGTCACTGGGATATTTTAATGTCTTTTCATTGTATGTCTTATCAAGGATACTTATTGGTTTCCTACCTGAGGTATAACATTAATACAATTAATTTCCATTAAAATGGATTCACCCGAGGGAAATATTCCACTATTTTTATGTCCTACTTGAATGTTGTTTCCCGTATCCTGTGATGGGGTACAGTGAGGTATGTAGTGAAATTAGACCGTTGTCGAAGTTCCCCTCCTCTTGAGGAAAAGCTCTCTTATTTTCCTCACTGTGTTACAGTGCATACTAAATCCTGTTGTTTGTCCTTTTTCCCTGACAGTGGATCTTCATGGAGGAGCACGCAGTGACCCAGACCGAACACATGGCGACCATAGAAGCCCATGCAGTGGCCCAACAAGTGCAGCAGGTCCATGTGGCCACCTACACTGAACACAGTATGCTTAGTGCCGATGAAGACTCGCCCTCGTCTCCTGAAGACACCTCTTACGATGATTCAGACATTCTCAACTCCACGGCAGCTGATGAGGTTACAGCCCATCTGGCTGCTGCAGGTAATATGATTTGGGTTGGAAGCTCTTCAGTTTCAGCTTAACACTACCATGCATATCTGAAAGAATTTAAGATTTAGATACTTTCACATTTATCTTTATCACAAACCCTAAGCCTTATATTTATAACTTGAGCCTGTATTGGAGTCCATCGATGCTGCCACCTGGCCAATCCAT